CTCGGCTTCTGGGCTTACTGGTCATCTTAAGGGAAATTTTGTCTCCTAAAGGTGCCCGGTGCTCGGGTCTCGTTTCACCAACCTGCAATGTTGGGGTAACATTGATTCCTTGATATCCTAGTTTCTTATGCATTTGGTCCTTGGTCTATGTTCTCTCGAGCTGCCGTGTTCCGATGGCCCGGGGCAAACCTACTCGAATGTTATAGCCTTCTAGTTTAATACCTCAATAGCTACGCTCCTTTCATAGAGGACAAAGTTTTGGTGTCTGTGTTGACAACAGGACGGGCTTGATCGAGCGTTACTTGGATATTTACCAAGTAAACTAATAAATTAGTGTTATTTATCGACAGCTAGCAGGGTCTATAGAAAACCAAAAACTAATTAAAGGCAAATCCCTACCATTGCCAACCGCACAGTCCCTCTACGCTATGCCTGAGCAAACGGCTCAGGAAAGGGGTTGTCTATGGAATAAGATATATTAGGCTTGATTCCCCTCTTAAAACATTATCTAAAGCAACACTTCTCGTTTTATTCAATCACCCCAATCCCTCGAAATTATGAGAGTTTTAAACCTCCTACGGGCCTGGATTGCCCATGAAAACTTGCTCAAAGTGACCATCTTTGGATTACTTCTTCAACTCTCCTTCGCCCATTCATTTAGCAATGATGTGGCTCCAGACAGCCTATCCCCACGACAGGCCCATTTTGTCAATGGCCCAATGAAGTTCGATAGCTCCCTAGGAGAAGAAGCTGCGCAACAAGTGATATGGTCCCAGCATGGAAATTTACAACGGGCCACTATCCAAGTATATGTGAGCCGAGGGTTTCTGCAGGCGCAGAATACAATGCAGAATCCCACTCCGGAAGACGTTTGCTTCACCCTCTCGAACTTTAAGCTTATCGGCGATAAATACAGTACAACGAGGGTTGATTTTACACGACACTCGTACACCGAAGTACGGGTCAGCATCGATCTTCCAACAAAGCGCAGTGCCGATCAAGTACAGGCGGCAGTGACTATGAAGGCTAATAGCCTGCTGGTTGATATGCAAAATCAACAAACGCAATGGGGTCAAGAGTCCCGAAGGCCTAAAGCGAGCTTTGAGAAGGATGGACTTTATGTTCAAATCATCAAGCATTATGGGAGTCAGTGATGTGTGGGGTGTCTATTTCCTTTGACATCATTTAGTTGGATGTATTGAGGTTCTCGGGGTTTGGTGTCTATGACAGCCAGACAGCAACTGTGAGGCTTTATTTCGCGTATCGGTTTTACTTCTTCGTCTTTCGTTTATAAAGAACAAATTGTTACTCTCGTTGCTATGTATCGTGCTATTTGGTTTTTGATGTTGGTTTTATTATCAATGCTTTTTGATCCATACTCCGATGAAATTGATAACCTAGAGTACTATGCCGGCTTATAGACAGAGACAGAAGCTTTTGAATCCTTCCCCTGAATCGTCGTCTACGCACAAGAACATAGCCAAGGAAGAATCAGTCGTGCCTTCTAGGCAAAGCTCGTACTCCAGCTAACTTCTAAATCTAGTCTAGTTTCAAAAATTTTTATCTGATCTAACTAACACTCAAATCCCGGGCTAGACTTGCCTTGCCCAAGAAGTGGTGATGGTTTATTCTAACCACCCGAGCGCTCGGAGACTTTCAAATCTCAATACACCGCGTAGATTGCAGATTTGCAGAGTGAACACCCGACGGGCTTTCAGTTCTCCCGTTGGAGATGTTTTTCGGAGACTTTCAAAGGCTCTCTTTGTTGGTTCGGGTGGATAGGGCTCTTGAGAAATTTGCAGTATCGAGTCTAGTGCGTACCCAGAAGGGCGGGTATATCCACTTTTCCGTGGATCGGGCTAACGTTCCTTCATTTCAATGTGCTCCGTATCCACTATAAAGAATGAAATAGGCAAATAGTACATATGCTAAGTTAGGGCTATCGGCTTTTGCTCTCAGAAGATGTGGAATTCAACGGTTTCTTAAAGGCATGGAACTCGATGAGTCGATGTATATAAAAGGTTCAGGAACCTCAAACTATAGCAGATAGATTTATACTTGCTTTCGTTTTCATATCAATTTTACTAGATACCCGTGTCTCAGGAAACAACCATATAATAATTGTAACCAATATGAACGTCACGTTCGATGTCTTCCGTGGCTCCCCTGAGGGCAAGATCGTTGCCGATAAGACAACGCGCACTCTGGAATACAACGAAGTATTTATTGAGACGACGCATTCCGGTCTTTGTGGGACGGACGAACACTACCTGAAGTCGGGCCAGGTGCTTGGACACGAGGGCATCGGTATCATCAAGGCTCTCGGACCCGGTGTTACCTCGGTGAATGTTGGAGACCGTGTGGGATTTGGATACACACATAGCATTTGCACATCTTGTGATAACTGTGAGACTGGTAAGTAATTCTTGAACACCGACCAGTTCAGCCGTCTAATATGGCCCAGGCTGGGACCAATTCTGCCGCAACCAGAAGCAATATGGCTTCCACGACTTTGACAACGGTACCTTCAGCTACGGCGCCGTCTGGGACGTCAACTGCGTCTACCCCATCCCAGAGTCGGTCAGCTCAGTCGATGCCGCCCCTCTCATGTGTGCTGGTGCGACTGTCTGGACTGTCCTGACTGAGTTTGGTATTCGCTCGACCGACCGCGTCGCTATTATGGGCATTGGTGGCCTCGGTCACATTGCTATCAAGCTTGCTGTCGCATTGGGCTGCGAGGTTGTCGTTCTTTCCAGCTCTGAGTCCAAGAGAGCAGAGGCGATGGAGTATGGTGCCTCCGAGTATCATGTCTTCTGTTCCGGCGAGCCTATCAAGGACTTCAAGCCTGTGAAACATTTGTTGCTGTGCGGAAGTGGTTCCGTGAGCTATTCTTCGTAAGTTACCTTTCCAAAGCTTAGCTTAGACAGGTCTAGCTAGTTTTTGGAACCGTCTATATATGTCTCCAGGTCTTTGCTAACACAGAGCAGTCTCATGCCCCTCATGGACACCAACGGTAGCATCTACCCCTTGACGGTCGCGTTCGAGCCCTCTCCTGTTCCCATGCTGGATGTCCTCTTCAAGGGTGTCCGTATCCAGGGATCTCTGGTTGCTTCTCGAAAGGGTATTCGTACGCTTCTGGAGTTTGTGGCTAGGCATAAGATCGTGCCCACCGTCATGGCTTTCCCGTTGACTGTGGAGGGTATTGAGGAGGCCATGCAGACTCTTAGAGAGGGAAAGATGAGGTATAGAGGAGTGCTTGTGAAGGAAAATTGATTACCGGGATACCCAAAGTGTACTATAAGCATGATGCGTGATAGCAGTGTAAATATGGAAGAATATATATACCGTTTCCTTTGAAAATATATAATTCGCAAGGACCCACGGACCAAGTCAGACACCGTAATTTACTAGACTCAGCAGAGCAATGACTTCCCGGATATTACGATACCAAATCATATGTTTTTATTCTCTACCTACATAACGCAGCTACTAGCCTGAGTTACTGCTCTACAAAGGTTAGTTGTACTTTATCCCGATTGAAAAACGTTAATGCTAAGCAGCGCTATATCTCCTTACGTTTGATTCTCCTCGGATCCAAGCATTGGCGTCGAGTAGAAAAATTAGTTTAAAATATGAAAAAAAATTACCTAATAGAATTATAGAAAATAATGTGAATAAAATTACAGGAGGGTTTGAAGTAGACCATGGACTGATTGGCAACAAATGGATCTTGCCTTTTTGTGCAGAAGGGTGCACCATGTTAGAGCCTAGCAGACAAAGAATTTTTCATCCACTGGGCCTCTGGCGCAACGGTAGCGCGTTGTAAGTTACACTTCACCAAGCAATAGCTTGTCAACTTCTTCTAACAAATTCACAGCGACTCCAGATCGAAAGGTTATCCGTTCAAATCGGGTGGGGCTCACACCTTCTTTTTTTCTTTTTTTGCTTTTGCTTCTACCCGGCCTTAGTAAACCAGGACCGAGATGCTCTTTACCCACTTCATCTTCGCAATTGAGAAACGTGCTCCTTTAATGTTTGATATCTAATCGACATAGTTTGATCTCGACCTTGAGAAAGCCCTAATCCCCGTCTGTTGCCCCTTCTGTTATCCCCTCAATCTAGTACAGGCCAGCCTCCGTGCTATATATGCTTACTATAAATCTTCACTTCGCCTGCGCTTCAACACTTGGTCGCTAACTATACTACCTGAACCTGTCCTTTGTGATGCGTTTATCTCGATCCCTCTAGAGTTAATACAAGTCTTGTACATATAATATCCTACTAGTATACTCCGTATGAAAATCAGGTAGTCACTAAGGTTTTCCTGTCTTGTAGAGGCTGGCCGGTAGCCCTAACCACTTTAATTGGAGCGAAACCACTAATTGAAATCGCTTACCCCACCTTTCCGAAGCCTTTTTATTCGTAATACTTTCCCGTGGGTAATTTAAGACTACATTGGGTATTCGGTGTCTTTTCAGTTACTATTAGGATGCTGCTGCTGGGTCAGGATTCAGGGTGACAACGGAGGAATCTATCTTTACATCCTTCCTCAAATCTGCCCTACATGTAACAAAATAAGCAGCCATTTGCCACCAGCAAGGGCCTCTGGCGCAACGGTAGCGCGTTGTAAGTACCAACTTATCAAGACTTGTCAAGTCTCTCTATTCTAACAAATTATCACAGCGACTCCAGATCGAAAGGTTATCCGTTCAAATCGGGTGGGGCTCAAATCTTTTTTCCTTCCTTTTTTACTCATACAAAAACAACTTCTATTCCTCGCTTAGATCACAGACCTACTTTGACACTCTCAACATCTGTCGGTCAGCTTTCTTTTCGGGAGGTCCGTTTAATTATTCCTTTCATTAATGGAGGATCTCGTACGTAGCCTGTCAACTACGGGAGGGTATGTAGCCCGGAATCGCTTGGCTAGGATTTATTAAGTACCGTCCTGCGTCCCTTACCCGTATATATGCAATTTAGCAAAAAGAGAACATCAAACCGGGCCTCTGGCGCAACGGTAGCGCGTTGTAAGTTCCACTATTAATCACTTGTGGCTCAATTTCCATATTCTAACAATATCATAGCGACTCCAGATCGAAAGGTTATCCGTTCAAATCGGGTGGGGCTCATCTTTTTTTGCCATGTCTCTTTTACGCCCTTTCTTTTTTGCTATGCCTTCCTTTCGACATGTTTCTTTGTATACACTTTTTCAAGAGAAATGAAACCAAAATCCCACATACTCTGATCACTCTTCATTCACCGCGCTAAGATGACTACAGTAATTGCGTCGGTGCTGGGTCTTCACCAATCACCCAACAGGACGACCACACCTGCGAACACGATACCCGAAGGCAGTGTCTTGTACCTTCAATCCATAATGACCACCTCTGAAATCTACTCTTGAGTGCTGGACTCAACTATGGCCCTACTTTTCACATTCTTCCACAGATGTCTGATCTCTAGTTCAGTCCCTGCAATTTTCACGTCCCTCCCCTCTTGTTTCACTCTCTCACGGTCTCTCTCTTGAATTTTCCTTTTACTGAGTATTTGACAGAGGAACTCTATGTTTTTTATTATTTGCGGGGTCTTCCGTGTGAAGGACAGATCTTGTGCCCAAGCCTGGACTACTGCAATTCCCGGGTGGTTATGGTATTTGCGTCGCGCTAAAAACCTGGCTTTGGGTAAGCAATGGCTGACTGATTCGTTGTTTTGGACTATCAGAACCCACTCTTGAAGATGTGTCCAGATATTATCTTTTCGCGATGGCCATTTCTCAGGGATGCCTCTAAAAACAATGCCCCCGAGGGGCCAACCCGTTCGGCGTGTTAGTAGATCCTCTCGGTGCCGTTTAATCGCACCTCGTGTCCGTGTTGTTCTTCCAACATATCTAAAATACACAGTCTCATCAGACTGCTTACCCATGATGCTACCTAACCATATTGTTGTATTGTCAAGGCTATTAGGAAGACAATGATTAAGCAACTCTGGAGTGATACTTTCGGTGTTGACTCCACCTTCTGCAAGGCGGCCTAATAGCACGCTCAGCACAGTCTGGAGTGTATGGACATGTTTGATATCTGAGAGTTTGGTCGAAGTATCTGAATGTCTTTTTTTGCGCGCTGTATGGATACGCGTGCTGTATTAGATAGATGCCGCTGGTGCTCCATTGCGAGACAAGAGACCTAGGTCGTAGGATAGTCGCAGTTTGGGAACTAGAACGATATTTGCCACGGCGAAGACCGAGAGGAGCTGAGCCGATGATGCTAAAAGGTGCTGTTGTTAAAACTTCATCGATATAGACTTTTGCCCAACTTGTGATATATGATTGGTTAAATCAGTTTGGTTGCCACGGTTGGTGTTGGCCTTAATTCATTGTGTGTTGCTGTAGGTAACAGAGGACAGTGTTTACATACTGTTGTAGAACCCTTATTCGTTGCACATCATATCAACTCCTCACCCCCAAATCCTATAAGAAACAATTCTCTATATGCCCGGTGGCAAGCATAACAAGCATGCACGGAAGAGATTGAAATTATAGCTTTGCCAGATAAGAGGAAATAACATAAGAAGTGCTGTTAGTCGATCCAAAACTAAAACCGTACTAATCTATTCTGATGTTGATTAAAGGATACTCGTTCAATTAACCCCTTGAGGACCACGTCTTAAGTTATCTCCAATAGTCTAATGTTCAGCTATATTCCAGAACCTCCACAGTCCTCGGGGGTATGACCTCCTTCACCTTACGACTTGGAAGGACATCCACCTCCCCCACCAACTGCTCCCGGATATGCTCATTAAGCCAATACTTCCTCAAAATCAACGAATCAATCTGACTCGCGCCAGCAATTTGCCCCAAGCACCTTCCCAGCCCAGCTCCACACCCGCACTGAAAAGGCTGCACCATGTTCCATTCTGTACTCGGGTAAAAGAAGGTCAATTCGTCCCCGACAGTCAAAGGACGGTCATCGGATACACGGACTTCGAATCTCGTCATGTCGAATACTAAACTCGGGGTGCAGGAATGGTTGCAGTAGACGAGGTCTGAGTTTAACTCGATGCGGGAGTCCTTGCCAGTTGCGACGGAGGTGTATGTATCGTGATCGCCAGGAGTGGCGGTGGTGATGTTGGCGAAGAAGGCACCTGCGGGTAGGGAGATGAGGGATCTGGCTGAGGATGTGTAGGGTTGGTCGCCTTTCACTACTAGGAGGCGGTCTGGGTGGCTGGGTTGTTGCCAGGATGGGGTGAATTCGGTCATGGTGGGTTGGATATGAGGAAGAGTTGGGATATGGAGATGGATGTATAGGGAGGGTTTTGGGTGAAAAATTGCTTCTGTGTGTTAGACAGGGAGACCGGTTCTTCTTATTTGCCTTTCTCTATCTTAATTGTTGTATGTTTATCTATCATAGTTTCCTGATCATTGTCCTGTAGTTTCCTTCCGTTATGATGGATATGACGTGAATCTAGGGATCGAGTGCGAATCACTAGCACTGAAGATCCTGCAGTTTGTACTTCTGAAGTGGACGATCAACAGCCAAAAATGTAGAAATGCGATAGCGGTCCTAGCCTGGTACGGAAAGTGTTGATATCGAGGACATGGAGTATCAGTCCAGAATGCAACAGAACTCCCCTGTAAATGCCGCAGATGAGGCAGTAAGAGGCCACCATCCCTGTGGCTCATCTGGGCAAGCCGGGAAAGCATTATAAGCAGGTCTGTGTTGACAGAGGAAGCATCGGAATGCTGGAATGTCCAGGTGGCATGGTACGCATACCTTGCGGCTTTGTGTATGTAGGACAGTGCAGTTATGCATGAATGCCGCATTACTTTCCCCAATGTTCTGCATTGTTGAAATAGACTCTTCTATGTTGTAGTCGAGGCAAGGAGATTACAAATTTAGGGTGTGTATGTACAGTGGACCACCCTTTGCAAATGAAATTTAAAAGTGTCTAAAAAGGTGATCTAGGCCTAGTCTATTACGGAGTCCTGTAATGGTAACTATTAAAATACTTCTGTATCACTTCTACATTTTAAAGAATGATTATACTTAAAAGACCGTTGATAGAGTTGAACGGTGGTTTGGAGGGTTTACCTAGTCTCCAGGTTAGCTTCTCAGAAATGGACTATATTCTATTTATCCACCCTTCTAGTAAAGAACAAGTAAGGTTTCGTAGATTTACTCGTAATATGCCAAATTGTTGTACTCAGATGATTCCGAGCAACATATATCCTACATAGCCTAAGTATAGAGCAAAATCAGTATACCGTGTGCCTATGAATTTTCAGCCCTATTGCCGTCTTTTCGATCGTGCGATCCTTGGTTTATTTCCCCATTGGACCATATGGGAAACCATCAAATCCTACGCGGTACCCCATCCAGATCCGATCCGCCTCATAATAATGTGGTTTAATGAGTAGGCTTCATATTCCAAGGGTCCTGCATGTAATCGCAAAAGAATGCTTCAACCTTGAGAGGCTCGGGTTTCGGGGGAAAATGCGCCGAAGGTTTGAGCGCGACAGCATCCGCAACGAATAGCCACACCTACCTAATGAACCAGAGAAGTGTCCGTGCAGTCTTATACGAAGAGGTTATTTAGAAGCCAAAAGCTTAGCAGCGACGTCCATATACTTCTGACAATGACCGATCGTGGGGTAGCTAACCAACATCAGCGATCAATCTTCCCATTCACGAGTTGCGCTGTTCATTGCGTATGATGTGGAAGAGGTTATGTGCAAATAGTTGCAATAATTTTAGATTCTATGAAGGAGGAATGTGAGCCTTCAGTATTTCTTATTAAAAAGAGTTTCACTGAGAGGCTTGCTTACAAAGCGTTTCTTGAATAGTTACCGACGCTGGCTTAAATCCGGCAAGTGGAATGACTTATTACCCGGGGCTGGAGTGATTAGGAAATAAACTCTGTCCACACCAGGCGTACTATTACTCTATGAATCTGTTATGAAGCTTGCCTGTGTATCTTTCAGGCTAAAGACAAAGACGAAGCATTGCCAATTGATCAGCGTCACCCGAAGAATATCCGGCCTTGGATGTCTCTCTAAAACTCCGCTTAGAATCCACCATGATCTCGGCATTGCCCAGATTCTATGGCCCGACTCGGGCCCATCGTTCAGAACCCTGCAATTCAGCCTGAATGGATTGGGTGGCTCAGCATATATCGGAAAATCCCCGCGTCGGAGGAGGTGATCGGCTGCGGGACTTTCTCGATTCGGGACTTCATCTGTGGGGGTGAAGTCAAAATGTTGGAGATGCTGCGGCAATGCCGACTTTTTACCCAGAGATAGATGACGTACACAGCTCAAGGAAGGCAGCTAACTCCCTGGCCATGGAGAATGCAATTGCCGATTGCTATAAATCCGAGCCCCCTGCCAGGGTCCAAGACGAAAAGACAGCTCCAGCACTGTACCACCGACAATTGCCATTATGCCTGGTGCAGCGTCCATCGTCGCCGTCCTGGCGGCCTTGTTGCCGACCGCTCTTGGTCAAGCAAACCAAAGCTACGTCGACTACAACACCGAAGCGAACCCAGACCTCTTCCCTGAATGTCTGGAGACCGGTGGGACCTCATTCCCGGATTGCGAAAGTGGCCCCCTGAGCAAGACTCTGGTCTGCGATACTTCGGCAAAACCCCATGACCGAGCTGCCGCCCTCGTCTCTCTCCTGACCTTCGAGGAGCTGGTGAACAACACCGCCAACACAGGCCATGGCGCCCCTAGAATCGGCCTGCCCGCGTATCAGGTGTGGAATGAAGCTCTCCACGGTGTCGCCCACGCCGACTTCAGCGATGCCGGCGACTTCAGTTGGTCCACGTCCTTCCCGCAGCCGATCTCGACAATGGCTGCCCTCAACCGCACCCTAATCCACCAGATCGCCACCATCATCTCCACGCAAGGTCGTGCCTTCATGAACGCCGGCCGCTACGGACTGGACGTCTACTCCCCCAACATCAACACCTTCCGCCACCCCGTCTGGGGCCGCGGCCAGGAAACCCCAGGCGAAGACGCCTACTGCCTCGCCTCCACCTACGCATACGAATACATCACCGGCATCCAGGGCGGCGTCGACGCCAACCCACTCAAGCTCATCGCGACAGCGAAGCACTACGCCGGCTACGACAT